ACATCTTATATAAAGTAAAATATTCTCAAAAGAAAAATTCATACTAGGATAGGCACAATCATAATATCGTAGATTGACGTAGATATAGTTTTCTAGGCACCAACTACACTAAATTAAGCGAATTAAGTTGCCTATATTTTATTGTTAAATGACACTTGCATGACCGTCAGAATTGAAAAAAATCAAAACTCAAAGTTCAGGAAAGGAAAGTGACGTGGCAAAATCACTTTTGTTTTTCAAAGAAACTTCCACAGGCCACTGCAACACCATTTACAAATCTTCTGAATTTCTTAGTATTTTACTCTGCACCTGATTATATATAGTTTGAGTTGGGCAGAGCTAAAGGAGACGCATGAACGTTGTCTCGATTGACTGATTCCCGTATTGGTGAAAGGTGAAGGTTAGAGATATTAAGCTTTCCATCACAAAATACAACTCACCAAAACCTGAAAGCAACTCTACATCGAATACATTGGAGATACCGGACGAAAAATTTCAACCAAGCTCAAAGAAAAGAAGAAAGAGCATTAAGATAAATAAACTCATCGGCAGTTGCTAAACATAATCACGAAACCTGACATCAAATTTTATTTGATAATCCTAAAACTCTTGCATGTATTCTATAAACAACCAAACGATCTTGACCGCGGTCTTTATCTTTCAATTCTGGGACAGCACGACAATTTTATACTGGCTAAGTTTTGAACTAGAAAGGATTAAAACCATCTCACTTCGTCATAATCATCCAATTGCTCGTGTATCATTGTTGGGTAAAATTGGCTTACAGTTTCATAAAATGTTAAAAGCTTATGTCCAGAACATTTTCTTGTGTCACTAAACGTAAATCGGAAATGCTTTTTCTACTGTGCTGTTTATAGCCTTCCATTTACTGTCTCCTTCACTCAAATGCCTTTCTATAAATTCTTTTAAAATCCATTTCGAGACCACTGATCCATCCGTTTTCCTCAATTGAATTTTTTTTCTAATTTAGTTGTAATTTATCATGAAATAATTATAGCCCTTATAGCTATTTTTTATAATTTAAGGCATAGAAGATGTGTATGACGACGGAAGATATACTGGTTAGGGAAGAAGAAGAAGTAGTGTAATATTAGCACTTCATTACAGTTTTCCTTTTCGATGTTTTTTCTTTTAGTATTTTTCTTTTTCTTTTTTAATTATATTTCATTTTTTAATTATTTATTTACTTTTTATTTTTACTAATAAAGACAATTATTATTATAAATGTTCGCAACCAACATTACACGTACCTGCAACGTGGGTTGCGTTTCGTTAGGATACCACTAGATAAAAGTGTGGACAAATGTTTCAACTAGATAAATTAAACAAAAGCTCCCCAACTCACAGTTCGATCTGGCAACGCCGCGCGCAGAGTCTTGCTTGGGAATATCGGGTTAAATAAAACCGTGGTTAATAATAATAATAATACGTGATTCACCGAAAATTGCTTAAATTGGTGTGTCGTAATTTCGAGCTCTTTTAAATTGGGGGTAATTAAAGCATAAGGCAGAAATTAGAAGTCTCGCTTTTCGGGTATCGTTTTTCGACGGTCATTGAGAGATTAGGTTTAAATTAAGCGTGGAAGATAGCCCATGTGGTCGCTGCGCGAGTGAACTTTATTAGTTATACCTACCTACTTAGTAAGCAACGGTAAAATTAAGATTTTCGGTCAAAACTCACGGTAGATATGATTTTTTTAAAATATCTTTTTATAAGGTTTTCCGAGATAAATATATTCATTTTACTCTTAACAGTAATATCGAAACTCAAAAAGTTATTTTTTTTTTCGAAAAACAGGCGAAGATATTTTAGTTTATACTTTTGTTAATAAATATGAAGACAAGTTTTTTTGGGTGCGGAGTTTTCAAGATTATCAAGATATACGGTGTTAAGTATATAAGGTGTTATCTGTTTTTGGAAAATAATGGTAATAGACTAAAATTATTCAGTGACGTCCTCTGGCATTATAGCGAATATTATTGGCAAAAAAAAATGCCATGTTACGAACGCCATTGGACTTAACAATTTTAATCTATTAGGCCTCAATTAACTTCTTAATGCATCAAATAACATTGCTAAATTTAAACAGAATCGAGTGGGTTTCCAAACTTTTATAACATCACGAATCACTTCATGAAAACACTGTCGAATTGTGAGGTTAGAATCTGTATTCTTGTAGAAAAACAATTGTAAAACTTTTCTTATATTCGGTAATTTTCGTTTACTTAATTTTCTACATGAAAAAGCAAGCAAATAAATTTTCTTTTCAGCCATTTTACTGATAATAATTGAAATTACTGAGAGCTTTAAAGAATGACAATACACAATAATTTCTTAATATATGTGTTGCAGACACTGATAATTTGACAACTGTGCGTGTGATCTAATATAATTAGTGCTGCCACCTACACTGACAACCATTTTAAAATTTGAAATCCATAGAAATAAAACACTGATTATTCTGTAGATAAAAAATTATTAGAACTATTTCTGAAAAGTTCAAAATTGTAATTTCCAAATGGCTGTAATTAATCTTCTTTTAATGATAATCATACTTTGTTATACGGTTTTGGAAAGCTTAAAGACTCAACTTTAAAAATATAAATTGGTTTTTTGTAAAAAATAGCGAACATTATACGTAAATTTAATTTTAGTGATTTTTGGTGAGGATTTTTTCGATATCAAAAAGAAACATTTGAGAGAGTAAGAGCTAACACAAAAATAAAACAAATTTTTAAAGCGCCCTAGTATATATAGATGTCGGAATATTCTGTATTTGGTAAAGCAATAATAAGTAAGTAGTAAGTAGCAATAAGTAATGTGGGTCAAAAATTCATACTTCATTTTACCCTCAATTATCAAACGGGGCTTATATAGTCGTTATACTGAGGAAATGAAAAAAAATCAGAAGAAATTTCGAAAAAGAATATAAAAAACATGGAATATGCATGTTTCGCATACCACGCCTAACTCTACTTCAAGAATTTCGTTATGAAATGCTAGAATCAAAACGGAAGAAATCTGCATTGACGTTCTTTTATAAATTACGAAATTGATTGTTCCTTTCTCCTAAGTAGCAACTGTAACCCCAATTTTGCAAATAAAATTAGCGTTTATTATTTAAATGGACCCCGTACTGCACTGTGGCCCCGCCTGTGGTCATGTACCCAAAATACCATAATTTTGTTTTGCCGTAAAAACTCGTTACAATGTCACTAGCGATGTATTACAGTTGTGTATCAATCTTTTCTTTTTATCAATTTTAAACTAAAAAAATACATAAAAGAAAATATACAAAAAAAACGTAGGGATGTTTTTTTTTACCTTTTTAATACTTGGTGAGCCAAGAAAGCAGACAAAAATTTAGAAAAAATCCGTGAAATCTTAGCCGAGTTAATAGATACCTTGCCCAATAGAGTGAACGAGAATACCAACTTGGAAAATCATGTCTTCTATCTTTGTAGTAAGTTCAGTGATTATTGGAGGCAAACTTCTAGTTCTAGATCAAAAGTGGCAGAAATGCAGCAGGTCTCCGACGATCAAGAGCCGTCAACAAGCAAGCCAAAAAGATTTTTGATGAAAGAGTTTGAAGAATGTACTGAACGATCTGAACGTCGAACATTGTGGGAGTTATCTAAAGTAGGTAGTTCTGCAATTAAATATTTAAAAGATCAGTCCAAAACCTCGAGTTCTCAGATCAAAGAAGACAAAATATACATTTATTAAAGATTTTGTTAATTCAAAAATGGCCCCAAATGTCTTCCCTTCCTATCACAAAGTTGTGGAGGCAAAGAAAAAGTGTTATCCTTCGGATGAAAAAGTCAAAAGACATCTGCAGAAGTTGAACTGCAGTCACTTCAAATCAAGCAACATGACAACTCATTATAAAATGGTAATCCCGTACCCGTAAATGTGAATTATTTTTTTGAAGGTATGTTTCCTGCTGTTGATAAAATTTTAGTTTTTAAAAACAAATAGTTTTTTATTTATATTAAAGTTTAATATAAATAAAAATAAATTTTAATATGTACAAAAATCCCATATTCAAAAGCGCGCGAATTTCATGACCGCATGTCCCGTAAGACGGGACCGCTGTGCAGTGTTGTTGTTAACTCGATCCCACTATTCCGAATGTGCAGTTTAGGGTGTAAAAAACGAAGCGGACATTTCTAATTGCACTTCCACCGATTCATTCAAAAACCACTTTGCATTTAAAACCTAAAGTATTGCAAAACTGTAAATTTCACTTCGATGAGCATATATTTGCTGATGCTCTGGTGTTTTTTTGTTTTATAAAAGGAACTTGGTTTCATTTTGTTTCTCTTTTTGCGATAACGTGCGGTTAATAATAATAATTCTGAATTCCCGTTGGGATAAACAAAAAAAAAACATCATAATAACATTTGTGATAGAATTTAATATCACTTAATTAAACTTGAGTTGCGGAACTCGTCTGCTACCTTATTTTACAAATAACCCAGACAAAATGAAATATGTAATCCTAGTCTACAGAGGAACCAAAATAAAGCAGTGCATTAATTGAAGTTGGTTTTAGTCAGAGTTTTAAACTTAGTCGATGACTATGGGACAATCATCCATAAACCAATTAGGACAATTGATAGCCGAACCCTTTATATCTTTCATTTAAGCGGGAATTATGTTTATCATTTATTTGCGACATATAGAAATGTCCGCCGCCATATCCTGTTCCTTATAAACGGTTGTGTTAAGTCTTCTTTCTTTTTTTTCTCTGGTAATAATGAATTTTTCCGCAAATGAATCATAGTTGCTTTATCTTATAGTAGTCGATTAGTTAATCTGAATCACCTAATGTAAGTAAGATTCGTGTTTGTAATCTGCCATTGGGTTCTGAAGTCTAATATAAAACTAAATCCCGTGGGCTATTTTTCAACCTTCAATTCGCCTTTTTTTTAAAGCTAAAGGGTGGGGGAGTGGGAGATGATCGTCGCTCGCCTCACCTGAGTTCCCGAAACTGTTCTGAAACGGCGAGACGTACCAGTCCCTGAAGTAGCCCGCCGTGTTGCCCCGCGAAAAGTCCGCACGCCACTGTCGCCGCGCGCTCAATTGAACTGTTTATCGATCTATTTAACCCAGGGTTAAGTATACTCAAGACGGTCCGACAATAAGACCACAATGGACCATTACTTGATCCCCCTATACGCGGTCAAATCGAAACCATCGGATCATCCGCGCACTTTTGGCACGCTTCCAAAAAGAAAAACCGAAATCCGCGTGTACTCGCTTTTCCGCGCCAAAATATCCTTCAGGACGCGTCGCCGCGCCACGTTGCCGCAACCGTAGACCAATCGAGAGCCCTCGCACCACGCGGTAACATGTGACCGTCGATCTGCGACGTTGCCTTGCTTCTGCGGAGAGAGTGTAGAACAGTCGGCCGCGATTGATTCAAAACAACTGACTGTCGCGGCGGCAGTCGCCGCCGCCGCCGCCGTCGGATACGACTTAACCCCTTACCCGGGGGCGGCGGGGTGGGGGGAGATCCTCGTCGCCCCTCGCGCCACGACTGCCCGATGGGCAACCCCCTACCACTATCGGGAGGCACGCATGAGCAAGAATTGTAATTAGATTCGTAATGTCCAGTTTCGTATTTTAGGTGCCGGCGGAGGGGCGAGGGGGGGAGACGTATATCGGGGGGGTGGGGGTGGTTATAAGTGGTGGGAGGGGTCCTATGTCCGTCTCTCTCTCTCGTCGTACGTGTGTGTGTGTGTGTGTGTGTGTGTGCGCGCGAGGGTAGGGGTTGTAGGTCAGTGAAGGCACCGAAGTTTCGGCAGTAAATGGAAAAAAATTGCTTCGCGGTTTGCCTGGTGGGGCGGGGGGCGACGAAGGGGGGGTCCTCGTCCTCGTCCCGACTTTTATTGGTCGGCACAAATTTGGAAAATTAGTTGTCCAAATTATGGCTAAAATTGAAAAAAACCAATATCTTTAATGACACAATCTTATAATCTGCAGCCGGTATAACAAATCAATCTCAAGATAAAGAAAAACATAAAAATATATAAAAATAAAAACAAAATTCGTTTTCCTTGTGCCAAATATAAAATTTCGTCCAGATCACCCTGTATACTGGGCCTGCAAGTCTTTAATCGCCTTTCTGATGAAATATGTGATGACACTATATTCCGGGATATCATCCGACTGGAATCCTGCATCCGACTGGAATCCTACAGACGTTTCGAACACTTCGAAGTGTTTTCGGAGCGCGAGCATTGAAGATATATATATATATATATATATATATATATATATATATATATATATATATATATATATATATATATATGTGTGTGTGTGTATTGGTGGTAATCCGGGTGTTCATCCGTTCGTTGTTTGACCCTGGAGTAGGATCATTCGCCTGACGTTTCGCCAAAATATCATAAATCGTATTTACTGGGTCACCTGATTATGGGAAAAATTGTAAATGAAACTTTTCTTTACTTGTCTAATGTAATAAACAATTAATATTTTGCGATAAGATAGCACAGTAGTGGAAACAAATCTATACTTTTTTGCGACATTTTGACCCCAAAATTTTCGAAATCCGTTAAAAAATAAGCTCACAGGAAGGAAAAAACAAGATAAGTAAATACATTTATAAAAACAAAATATTTGGCTTTGCTCCTATTTATTATCAATTGTCAAAAAACTCTGCCTTGAATTTTATTTTTTTTAATACTAATCTGTCTTTTTCTTTTCACTGCATGAGCTTGTCGAGAGTTTCTGTTGCATTTTTAATCTTACAATCAATAATGAATAGAAGCAAAGCCACCTAAGTATTATTTTGTTTTTATAAAAATGTACTTACCTATCTGGTTTTTTCCTTCGTGTGAGATTACTTTTTAACGGATTTTGAAAATATTGGTGTCAAAATGTTGCAAAAAAAGCACCGTTTTTAAAATGTGTTGTGTTCCAACTAGGATGCTAATTGAAAAGACTAAGTTATCCTAAAAAATAATAGTTCATTACATTAATTGCTATTTGCCATTAGACAATTAAGGAAAAGTTTCATTTACAATTTTTGACATGGTCAGGTGACCCGACCAATAGTATTTATGATGGTCACAGCCTCCTGGACACAATTTTCTAAATTAAATAAAAATTAAAAAAAAATAAAAAAAACTGAGAAAAACCATCCTATCCTACGTAGGACGATCTGCTGAATACAAAAATGCAAAAACATATAGCCGGAAGTGCAACCATTGACTACATATTTTCAAAAAATTGAACATTCAGACGATATTAACCGTTCCAAATTTCAAATCGCCATCTCAAGCCGTTTAAACTTTATAGAGTGTTCCTACTTTCTTATGTCATATATTCGTAGTGCCTCCGTACATTTGGTCTGTATTTGTTATTGTAAACTTTTTTTATTTGACAAATTGTTCAAACATTTGTCTGTATAAAATTATTATTATTATAATAATTATTATTATTATGTTTTCTACAGGACTTACCTGGGTTTTAACTTGTGTCCGTTGCAGAAAGGTAGTTCGTATTTTTTTTCAAATGTTCAATACTTTGCGTACTATTCCCGCAGTTTCTATCAGAACGATTTTTTGCATGATGTTGATTGTACTTTCTGTTATTTTCAGGTCTACTAGGCTTCTCAATGTGGCGTGCGGGAGTTCACCAATGGCTCCGAGGATGATTGGAATTATGATTACGCTGGCTAATGCTAAGTATTTGTTAACTTTTTCTTAATGTTTTTGTTGTAAGTTTGTGCACATCCGTGATAATTTCTCTGACTTAGGTTTGAATTTGTAGTATGGTTATTGTTTTGTTTCTGAGTCAATTTTTTTTGTAGCTCTTGGTCTACTACTTTTCCTACATTATCGTGTCTTTTCGTGTACTCGAGGCCAGTGTTTTGCATCCACCAATTATATGATCTATTGACTCCGTTTCATTCCTACACATACGGCTTTTGTCGAATTCTATTCTTAATTTCATTATGTACTTTTCCGAGTCGCTATTACCTGATCTTCGATGGCACATACAAATCCTTCCGTCTCGGGAAACAGCCGTTCTTCCTTCAACCAAGTCACCGAAGCTTTCTCGTCGATATGATTTTGCCTGACCATGCAGTCCTTTTCCTAGCCAGTTCTCCATATAATAATAATAATTATTATTATTATTATCATTATTATTATTATTATTGTGCGCGCCGTGCCTAACCTCTATTGTGCATTTCTATCGTCTCTAAAAACAATCTCTGTTTGTCTATTTGAAGTCAAATTAATTTATTAAAAACGGTTCATCGTGCGATTTAGTGTGTGTAGTACGTAATAAACTGTTATCAGCATCTTTCGTTTCGTGTAAAGTGTAATCTCACGTGCAACACGTGTTCACGTTAGAATTTAGACAATATTTTTTTTGCTTCACGTAGTGACACTGTGCGACCGGGAAGCGACGGCGTGCACGGTCGGTTAATAGTAGTCAATTTTTATTGAGATCAATATCGTTTTACAAAGTAAAAATCTGGCCGACTGTGCGGTTGAAGGCTCTTTTGGTATAGTTAAAATTATGGCTGATCAAAGCAATGCTAAACCTTGTAAAAGGTGTAAGGGCGTGGCAGGTACTGGTCTATTGTGTATCAAGTGCGGCACGATATCGCATAAATCGTGCGTGAAAATCATGAAAAACACGAAAATTTTAGGAGGCGACAAGATTGATTGCTGTTCCTACGGAGGCGAATCCTTGGAGTCGGGTCCAATTCCTGATGATTCGGGAGCAAACGCTCCATTTGATGCCGCAAAAGAAATCATGTATTTAAAAGAACTTTTGAAGCAAAAAGATCTTGTTATCGAGAATCAAGCCATAGCCATTACCGCTCTAAAAGAACAGGTGAGCCTACTAAAAAGCAGCAGACTCCTTGAAGGGCAAACTCTGGATTCTGCAAATAGGGCTAAATCATCACAGACAGGTCCAATTAAGCAAAACGCCCCCAAGTCGGAGCACTCGAATAAAATTACAAATAAAGAACTATCTAGTGCAGTCAGTGAGGCGGTGTCACGTCAGATATGCTCTGAAATAATAGAAACGCAAAAGTTCCAGAGTCCTAAACGATAGAGTCAAACCGCTTAAAGGATCTCTTAGCGATAACTCTAAATGTGCACTTCGAGTTGCTGAACGTAAAATCAGTTTTCACATTACTAAACTGCATCCGAATACCAAAGCTGAGGAGGTCCGACAATATCTAGCACCGATAGTTAGTGGAGTAGAAGTGTTCCAGGTCCCATCAATGTATCCTGAGAGTTACTCCTCATTTAGGGTATCGGCCATGGATCACGAAGCGCAAAAAATTCTGGATACTTCCATCTGGCCCACGGGTGTGTTGATAAATCATTTTTTCCCCAGGCGTCTAACAAGAGAAAAAACCGATCCAATTCAAGTATCAACAGAGAGACGTCTAGTGAGTGAGAATCCCGACCCAAGACTACCGATGGAGGTAGGAATAGCATTAATATCTTGAGCTACAATGTGCAGGGTCTCCTAAGTAAACTCGATGTGGTTACTGAATATCTAAATTCTATTGGTTTTGACATTCTATGTTTCTGTGAACATTTTGTAAATGGTGAGGAGTTGCTTAATATTATTAAGGTTCACAATTATAAATTAGTTGGATATTATTGTCGTCTCAGTACCTCCAGAGGAGGAACTGCTATATATGTTAAAAATAATATTGCCTGTAGCAGTCTTAATCTGAGTAAATATTGTCTGGATCTTCACGCAGAGTTTTGTGGTGTGGGGATACCAGTGCTTAATCTTATTTTAACCAATGTTTATCGCTCTGGCTCTAGAGGCAATTTTTCTATATTTGTAGAAAAACTTGAACCCTTGCTCGCTGAAAGCTTAATATTTTGACCTTACCATCACTTTTTATTTACTATACAGTCACTTTCATACATGAGCTAAAGAACGATATGCCTAAGCACTGTGATCGCCACAATCACTACACCAGGGGATCTGAATTAATTGTCCAGGGCCATTCTAGGCTGCGCACATCCGAGTTAAATAAATTGTACATTAATTACTGCAATGTTCTACCAACCGTTGTCAAGGATCTGCCATTCACTAAATTTTGTAATATAATAAAACAATTTCTATTGGAGAACGCATTCTATACTGCAGATGAGTACATCCGTGTTGCGTCACGAGTGTCTCCATAATACTAATTGGGAATTTATTTATTTATTTATTTATTTTTTTTACCTAATTTTTGTTTCAATGTTTGGTGTTTGTCTATCTGATAATTATGTTGCTCTCTATGAATGTTATTAGAATGTGTTTGATATTGTGACTTGCCATTTGTTGTTCTTGTAATGTATTTAATGGCCAATAAAGTCTAAAGTCTAAAGTCTATTATTATTATTATTATTAT